TACTATACATTCCTACTTTTTTATTAGGGCAGATTAAAGGTTCAACAAATACAGTACCCAGTCTCTCAGCATTTTATGATTTTCGCATTTTTTTTTGTAGCTCCAGTACAATATTTCAGCATGCATTCACATGGCTCTCACAGCTGAACTGTATGATTTACGTAAAGTACAGCGCTGCGATCGTGGAGGGAAATTCGAACGAGTGCAGGTTGATACCAATTATTTCCATGTTTTTCACGAATATGGCTATTTTTGAACACAATGTTACTCAATTCAAACAAATTTAGTGCGATGACGACGGCTGTTTCTGTGTTGATATCGACAGTGGTGACGAGATATCCGGCACACGAACCACTGACGACATTCCTAACTGTGCAGGTGAGAGGGAATTTGGACCCGGTTTGGCTCAGAGTTGGCTATTTCGTGGAGCGAAACCTCTTCATTGCCAGCCCCTCACAAGTGTCCGGAGCTGGTTTGTCGGACATCATGTCCGTACGAATTCGAGCGGGATTCGAATGGATGTCGTACATGCCAGTGCAGGAATCCATGCGCTACGGTACGAGGGCGTATTCGTGAACTATTGAAAATTTTTCAGACGCTGAGTCTCATTTACATCTGGGCGAATAATACGTGTCAACCTGCGTTGGCGATTTCTCTTTCAGCGTTACTGACCTCGGGGGGACATAATCACAGAGAAAATTGAACGATAGCACCTATCTTTAAAAAAGCCTTCTCTTACAGGTGAAATGCCACCAAGGCAGTTACTGTGTAATGACCTCTGTTCATTGTTTCCAGACGGAAAATTGCCCACCACAGCCACGATGTGAGTGCGATTATTTACTACTTGTTTGTTCACTTGTTTATTTAATAGAAACCTCTGAAATGGTATTCCGTTCCCCAAGAAAAAGGGTAATGCAGTGGAAAAATCAACAGAGAAACTGGTCGCTATAATGCATAGAAGATGGGGAGCAGTGTGAGATGGCGGGGGCTTGTACGCAGACGATAACGCAGTTCCAGCATGTGATGGAGTGTGAGGAAGCGCGTCGAGCCAGAAAAGGATTAGCGCTGTGCGCCGAAAACTCGCGGAGAGTCCGTTACCTTGGGATAAAGTAAGGGTAGAGGTAGGGAGAGTGCAAAGTGCCCGGCTTACTATGCTGCTGCTCAAATATTCTGCTGGGGTATCTCAAGCTCCAGATGTCTCATCTAAGTCAACTTTACAGGTGTGCTAAATCTCTGCCCACGTGGTGAGCCGTTCATTTCGCAGGTTGGCGTCGTAGAAACCTGTAACTCCAACGATCAGTGCCCATCTGGGCACTGGTGTAATCAGGTATGGTTGCGTGCTTCTGAATCGGCATATCCCACTAGCGACACAGTCCACGCTGATGGGGTGAGTCAGGCCTACCAGTACGCTCTCTCATCGGCGCTCCCCGTTTTGAAAGTTCTCAAGAGTTATAGGAACGCCGATGAGGAGGGCACAATGGAAAGCCTGACTCCTCCCAGACGATCAGCTGGACTGCATCTTTGGAGGTAGCAGGCGCGATTGCAGGGGCGGGGTGTTGTCGCTGACCATATTGGTGGGAGGGCTGAGTGATGTGTGGCCAGAACGCCTCTCGCAGCTCTCCCACCAATGACGCTGGCAACAACCGCCCGCCTCCAGCGACCGTGCCCACTCCCTTAAAGTTATCATATTCATGAAAGAACGGTTTTCTTGAGGTAACAGGCGATGACTTCTATTTAGATGGGCTTTTCCTCAAGTGGTCTGTGTTGCGCTCTGCCGACAAGAGCTGCCCATTCTGGCGTATGTCCACCAACCACTCCACTTCTTCACAATCTCACTGTCTGTGGTTTCGATTGCCGCTCTGACGGCGATTGTCAAACCACTGAGAAGTGCTGCTACGATGGATGTGGGCTGCGCTGCAAAGGTACTGAGAGAACTTTTCATGAATGGCCGGTTAGGTTTTACTTTGGTCTTGCTCTACACGGGAACGCGCGCACTTCGGCATTTTGCTGGTTGCCTCGACCAATGCCGATGCCTTCTGTAAGATTCTGTAAAACTTGTTGTGAAATTGGTCGCACCTGAAGAGAAAATGTGTTGAGGAAGAGGAGGGGAAGTAACCGTCTTGCCAACTCCAGAAGCATCTTGTGAAGGCCTTTAAACTCATATAAAACCGAATTAATGGATTTCATATTATAGTGACATTGCAAGAGTTTGCAAGCCTTATCATGGTGAGGGAGCAGAAGAAGCTAGCGGAAGAGAGCAAAATGCCCCTCCTCCCGCGCACCTGTCCTAAGACGAACCGTGCCATTGTTTCCATACTTGTAGACAAGTGCAAATCATGTGACTGCCTCCTGTAGAAAAGTAGGCCTAGTTGACTCACAAAGAACAGACCAGACGGAGCACGTAATATGCGAACCTAAAGTCACATTCACATCGAATCGAGCAGCAGAATAAAGTAAAATCACTCTCCAGCCATGACGTCAGACGTGACTGAAAGTGGTGAAGTGACGAAAACGGAGCTGGTGAAGCCTGGACAGTGCCCATACTTTGACGAGCGATCCTGCGAAGATCGACTGTAAGAATTTCTTAGCTTCTGTTATTGCTGAAATATTTATTAGTCATTAAAAAGTCGTGGTTTTCTCTTTTGATTTTTACGAAAAAAATTTGTTTTGCAGTCATCTCAACCAGTGCGGTTCTGACGTCGAATGCGCCGGCGTGCAGAAATGCTGTTCTGACGGCTGCACCAAGAAGTGTCTCTACCCCGAGAACGCCAGCGCTTGCGTACAAGCCAAATCGGCTCTACAGATGATTGGGCAATCAGAGAGGATTCAGTGTCGTCCGGGTATAGCCTTTTTGAGCTCACAAACTCAAAACTCAAAAGTCATTTGAGACGTTGAGGAAAGTATTTCAGACGGTTCATTCGAGGAGGTTCAGTGCGATTCGGAGAACTGTTGGTGTGTGAATCAGCTCGGTGCCGAAGTCGAAGGAACACGATCATCCGAAAATATTCCACCCAACTGTAAAGGTCAGTTGAATCACCTGAGGCATAATGGAGGGTAGCAAGTGAGAGGCTGCATATTTCGTGCCGACTCGCTTGAACATATTTCCCTACTATTCGTTCTTCTGCACTCTCGCTGCTCACCCAACCACTCTTCTTGCTGTCCCATAGGTGAACTGTACGCGGCACTTCATTCATACACAGGGGAGGGGAGCAAAAAAACACTTCGGCCGAGGCACATATCAGTGAAGAATACGCAGCCCAGAGAGAAGACGTGGATACGAGTACCAGGGCGGAAGATACCCAAGATGTTCCTCGATAAGCAGAAGCAGGCTCTCGTCCATCACCTTCATGTACACCAAAATATGAAGCCATCTCCAATCGCAGCCAAACTGAAGAAGGCCTATGGAATTCACGTCACCTCCAAACAGCTGCGAAACTTCTTGTATCGAGTCACCCATGGACAGCTACCTGGAGACCGGCACTCTTGATCTGGAAGACCTCCAACATCGAGCAGCTCCGACAACGTCGCTACGGTCCAGGATATCATCTTCACCGCAGTCGCCAAGGCGCGGGTTGGTGGTATGGACCGGAAGTTCCTGAACCGATATTGCCTTCGTGGACCCCGGACTGAAAGTGAACGCTGACTGTTACATCGAACAGCTCGAGGAGAATATCCTGCCTTCATGTCGTCGCCTGTACCATCTTGAAAACTCGTACTGCTACAGGATTGGGTGCAACACATGGAATCGAAAGGCGTTGGAAAATTCTCGCCTACTTGGAATGAAGGGCGTTGAGTACCTGAAGAAGACGGAATATCAAGTGTGTCACCTGACCTAAACCCCCTCGATTACCGGGTTCGGGCGGAGCTCAACAGGGTGGTCTACAGTGGCGGAGAAATCAACGACCTCGCTGAACTCAGGTACCGAATCACGGTCGCGTGGCATGAATCTCTCGATGGCATTCATCCAGACGGGTGGTGTGCCCCCTCCCCCTCTGCTCGTACGGGAAGAATTGTGCCAGTCTATACACTCGGTCTCAACTGAGCGTAATGTCGCGAACTGTGACCGCAGTCACAGCATTTTGGCTCTCAAGACTGCTCACTGCCAGCTTCGAATTCTGGCGGATTCACGTGACAATCTCTCAGTACTGCGTGCAGCTACGTGCCACGGACATCTACCGAACGCTTCAGCTCGTGATGACCGTGTTCATACTTCACGACTGAGCGATTCAGTCGCGCGAATTTGTCCGACTCCGCTCCACTGCTACTCGTGAGGCTGTTGCCAACTGCTGATAAGATGTTCCTAGAAGTGGTTGAAAAAGTGTAGTGGATCGACGATAACGCGCCATCGGTCGCAGTCGTGCAACCAGTGTGGTTGACTCACCCGAGTCGCAAACGATATGAACGCCTTTCTCTAATCACACCGTCGTCAGCAGTGCTACGCGGTCACCGTAGGCGGCGACTTAGTCTCTGCGCCTCGCCTTGGCATCCCTGCTACGTACTCATCTCCATTTTCAACAAAACTCCTACACGTGTTGTTTGTAGCTCATCATCGTCACTTGTCGCTCGCGTATAATCTGGCGTATTGACGCCCATTATCGCGCGCTGTCGCCCACAGCTAGAGCCACTTACACAGAGGCATTTCGGTCGTTATTTCCTAAGTTTTATTTT